CAAAACTATAACAAAATTCTCGAACGTGATTGGCTATCAGCAGCCCGATTTGAGCATTAACTGGACAGTGCATGTGTCATGCTTGTAATTGGACAGTAACCGTCATTTTGCGTGCGATGTTGCGGTGCACTTTGTTGAGTAAACTGCTGGGTTTTTCAGCATTCATAACGACGTTTTAAAATCGTTCAGCGCTCAATCAATGGTTTGTTCGTTTCTCGAATTTTGTCATAGTTTTGATTAATTGGTAACAGGACATAGTGTCATCCAATTCAGTCTGTAATCATACTCGTGATTAACAAATCGGACTCCTGCTTCATGGTCGTCTGATTTTGTTAATCACTTGTATTATTACAGACCGAATTGGACTCCACTCAGTCCTATTACCATTATTAATCTACTTTTATTTACGTCAGGAACCATTGCCAGATAACTGCAATTCCAATCCCCTCAACAATTTTGTTGCATGCTTATTTTTAACCAATTACAGTAACTTAAACATGAAACACTTTAATATTTATGCACAATTTCACTTGATGAATATCAAGCTAACAAACCGATTTCTTTAAACTATTGCGATTCCTGAGAGAATTTCACAGTTATTCTGATCAAGCCAATTGTATTTGGTGTTTTATGGTAGAAAGGTACGAATTTCGTACGTTACTGTCGATCATCACCAGTTTTCACTCCTGGGAACTGGAAAATATGGCGCCTCAACATAAACAAGACGAATAAGCAGCGATATATTCAACGTAAACACCCTGAACTAAATAACATCAGTCTCTTAATCATTTTTGTTCGGATTCTGCCAGTCAAGCGAGGCTTATAAAACGAGAGAAGCAAAGCAACTACAACAAATACAGACTCATCAGCTGAATACTTCACCTTCAGCCAGAAGTCCTTGTCAAACCTTTCCTCTAGCTCATCTTCGGCTTGTTTCGCTTCTGTTGAGTTCGGTCTTTCCTCCATCTCCTTCTCTTCAACTGGAATAACCGTGTAAGCCTCTTTCTTTTTTGCCATGCCGCTAGCAGAGCGCTTATGAAGCTACATGAATAGGCAGTTTGTAAAGAGCCCAAAATGTTTTGGAACAGCCCAAAGTCACGCTCCGAAGGCGTGACTCTATTTCTCACATTTGATTGGTTCGAT